TCCTATAACAAGCTCTTTATATGAAACATTTTGATATTATTAACTATAACAATATGTAATGAAATTGGGGTTGTTGAAGAGGATTAATTGGATGCATTTATATATAGAGATTGATTTTCTGGTGAAAGAAATGAGGAGGAAGGGGAAATTGCGTGCGTGTTGAAAGTTGGTGAGTTTGTAGGACTTTTTTCTCTTTGAGGGTATTTTCGTCCATTTAAAAAGTTTACCTAACAACCAAAAAAACATTACTCCTCCATCCCAATTCATGTGACACATTTCGAATTACGAGATTCAAACAAGTTTCAATTCCCGATCAAACTTAAACTGTATAACTCTCGAAAAATGAAATATATCACATAAAATGAGACAAAGAGAGTACTGTTGTTGGTGATAACATTTTGGATCGTTTGATTCGTGGGATATGGATATAAACAATTTCCCTATAACAATCTAAAACATCTCAAAGATATTATCCACAGTGTATATGCACCTAATATATATTAACCTTAATTAATACGTATGTAACTATTATGAATTAGTTTAATCTACCACCTTTATCATTGATAAAGTAAGTAATATAGTTTGATGTATGTGTTGGATTTAAAAATTATCTTTTTACTATAATGTAATATTAAAACATTGACTATGATTTATTTTATTTTCACGAGTGAAGGTTTTAGGTTGTCACACGTCACATAATTAATATGAAAGCAAGAACTATTAATTACATATACGGATTGTGATGGAATTGTATTTGTTAATGATGTAGTACGTCATAATTGAATTATTTAAATTAAAATCACAATCACATAAAGAAATTCAAAATTTCTTGTGCTCTTTCTAAAATAAATTGTATTTCTAAAATTTAATTGGACAAAAAAAAATTCTTTTCAGTTATTTTTGGTAAGAGAAGATATATGCGATTAAATCAGTACAATTTTTGATAATATTATAATTAGTATTTTAAGAAATATTGGCCTTTCCAATTGTCCCCATGAAAATAAAATAAAATAAAATCACAAGCTTCCATTTATTCCCTTTTTTAATTAATTACTTACTAATTATGAAATGCTAAATCTAAGTTCTCTAGATTCACCTAACCTTTCACACGCTGAAAAGGTATATGGCAAAAGGTATTTGAATTTATTATTAGTGGTATAAAATAACTTCTTAATGGCTTGAATTAAAATAAAATAATTGAATATTTTCACACTATATGGTACATTTTAAATGTTTATATAGTTGAAATTGACTATGAAAATAAGAGGTATCACTAGAATAAAACAGGTAGATAATTAGGATTTAAATTTCAATAAAAGAACTTCAAAAATAAAATTAGATTATATTTTCTCATATAAATTTTATACGAGTCGTAGACAAAATGAGCCGATCACGAAAATTATTCACTTTCTTTGGAATAATTTTTTTATTATTTTAAAACTAGTCTTTGATTATAAAATTTTCAAAGTCAAATTAGAGTTGAATACTAAATATGGATCAGTGCTTCAACTCCCATTTGATTTGAGATTTTGAACTTGAAATTTGAGATTTTGAAATTGAACGAATTGAAGTTTTGTAAATATAAGTTAAATTTCTCTTAAGAATCTAAGTTAGTTTTTAAGAACTTGAAAATATTTAAATATTAGATTTCAAAATTCGGTCACAAGATTAAATATATTACATATATATTTGAAGATAAATTTCTAAAATATGATCTCAACATTTATGGTTAACCGCTTACAAAAAAATATTTAAAATCTACCATCAAACACCTACGAAATTATTTAATAATTAACTCAAATATCAGTATCATTAAATATAATAGAATTATTTTCAAAAGTGGTTGCATGAATTAGACATTGCAAAAGGGCAATGTCGTCCATGCAATTTAAGTTGTTTAGAATTTGAAATGTGACACGTTGGCAATACGTGGACTTGACTAAGGCAAATAATGTTTTTTTCTTTTTTAAAAAATATTTTTGCTTTATTTAAGGCCAGTCAGGTCAACTCCCAACAACCCCCCACCCCATTGAATTTGTTGAAAGTATTTTTTTAAGAATCAATGAAAAGGTATTATCTTATATCTTTTGGATAGGGGTGTTCATGGATCGGTTTGGATCGATTATTGGTCAAATTTAAAATTAAATTAATTTAATTGGTTCTTATATTATCAAAATTAAATCAAAACTAAATATAATATACATTTGTTGATTTAAGTATTATCGATTTTGGTTCGATTTGATTCAATTATTAATCATACATTAAAAAAAATAAAAAAATATTCATTCAGAAGAGGGGAAAAAGATAACAATTCATTTGAAATGAAATATAGTTAAAACAATTAACACTGCAGACGTTTCGATCACTTAATTTACCGTGACTAAAACTTCAAAATTCATCATTCTGACTTAGAAGGAAGAGACAATGTATTCCTAGTCCTATCAAAAAACTATCATAGACATTTATATACATCATACATTAAATCGATAAAATAAATGTACGTGTCTATGACATTTTTGCTTTCATAAATAAATTTTGATGAAAACATATTTAAGATATTTAAAATTGTTTACAAAAATAATATATTATGCATGTATAATAGTAAAATAAATGTATATAATTTATCGGTTCGATTTGGTTATTTCTTCAATTTTTTTGTACAAAATCTAAATCAAATCAAATATTATCTATTTTTAAATTCAAACCAAATTCAAACCCAAATAAAATCAGTTTATTTAATTAATTTGATTTGATTTTTCGATTTAGATCATTTTTTATCCAAATTGTAAATACCCCTAAATTTGTTTTTTTGGAGAAAAAAATTCAACCTTTATAAATTCACTTATTAAAAGAAATCGCAATCAATAAAATATTGATCATGTTTTTTGTGAGATTGAGATGATCTCGATTAGGGGTGCGCATCGGTCGGTTCGGTTCGGTTTTAGGTGTTATTGGTTCGGTTTATCAGTTTTCGGTTTGTAAATATGTCAAACTGATAACCAAACCAATAACATATTTCTTATCGGTTTTTGGTTAATCGGTTTATGGTACTTAACGGTTCGGTTTTCGGTTTAACCAATAAGAAAATACTCATATATATTATATACACGATAAGAAAATTTTCAAATAAACCATATGATTTTTCCAGCATTTGGCATGAAAGTAATAATCATAAAAGTAACAATCATTTTTCTTGCAAGTTTAGACACTAGACACATTCAAAGGAAAAAGTGTGAAAGTAACAATCGTTTAATCATTAACAATAAGACTAGTAAATTTAGTATAGTCTTATTGGGTTATCGGTTTAACCATTAACAAAAATTATAAAACCGGAAACCGAACCAATAACCCAATAAAATTTTTTGCAAAACCTTTTAAAAACCGTTAGCCCAATAACCCAATATCAATAAACCAATAGTATTTTTTTCGATTCGGTTTATTGGTTAAATCGGTTTTTGCACACCCCTAATCTCGATTAAAGTCAATTCAACATTTTCCTACCAATTTTATTTTCCTTTTGAAATTTTCAATGAATGGGTCCTCGCCTTTTGAAAGATAATGTTATATTACCCTTATATAGAAATGACACTTAAAGAGGACCAACACTGCATTATTTGATTGTACCAAAGGCAGTACTAATTGTACATTTAAAAGGACCAACACTGCATTTTGGGATTGTACTAATGGTAGTACTAATTGTACATCAATAAATAAACACACTTTCTCTACAACTTTGTTCCTATAATCAGACAAATTGGTAACCCTAATTTCTCGCCTCCTTCCTACAATAGCACTATTCTCTCAACTCTTCCTTCTACTTGTGATCTCTTCAATGGCTAATACGTCTGCTCCTTAGTATATCCTCTTTCTCTACACACTTTCAATCTCTCTCTGAAGCCACAATTTCAATCTCTCTCTCCGCCTTTGCTGAAGATCTGGGTTTCTTTCGGACCAGCTGCGCAGGTACTTGTTCATGCTTTAACTTACTCTCCTCCTTCGTAAAGTCTCTCAACTGTTCCTTCTGCTTCTCACCTCTTCGATGGTCAATCCATCTGCTGCTTGCTGTTTTCTGTTTGTCTACAGGGTTCAAATCGGACTGTCAAGCTTTCCTCAACATTTCTGCATGTTTCGGACGACCTACGCAGGTATTGCGTCATCGTTTAGGCCAAATTAACATGTTTCCTGTGCCAGCTCTAACGGAAAGCCTAACGTATAGTATAAGCGCCCCCAAAATTCCACTGATTTTAGGCTTCAATATCAAATCAGGGCCCGCTTGATTAGATGACCACCGCTCTCCCGATTTTCACAAACGTTTTAAGCTTCGAGTTTGATAGATGAGATAAATCTATCTTTTGGAGTAAATTCCGCCATATTAGACTCACAAAATGGTATCATCTCTTAATTGCAGCCTTATTTTAGGATTTACAATCTTAAATGTTAGAATCAATGTTTCACAAGATTTGGGTTTCCTGCTTCGAAGGTATGTCTACAGTTCTCTTCAATTTTTCTGTTACTTTGCGCCTCTCTCACTCACTTCTGAAAATTGGATGACTCTTGGTTGAGTTTTTCACGGCCTTGCTTTATTAATAATAACAATTTTTTGTGTTTATAATTCTTTTAAACGTAATTTCTTCATGAAATTTTGACTTTAATGTAATTGTACTCGATTTACATATTTGATCTCTTCGATGAATTTTATCTTTGTTATTATCTAATTGGTGTCTTAACTAAATTATCGTGCTGGAAATTTAAGGTGACAAATTGACGTGTAAAATTAAATCGTCCTGAATATGCACTCAAGGTGTTTGATGATGTGTCCGATTATCTTATTTAAAATAGTGTTTCTCCTTTTAGATTCTACCAGGGAAATCTCTAGGACAACTGATGATCGTGCCCGAGTCTGAGGCCAACTACCATTTTTTTGTTTCCAAGGCCCTCTTAGAAATGAAATGCAACATATCTTAAAACATACTTTGACTGCACAACTTCACTTAACTTTCATGTTGTCTGTTGGAGAAGAGACAATTATTATTCAAGAATAAATGTAAATTCTATTTCTAAGCCCTTCAAGTAAATTCCAAATTATTTTTTGCACCCTTTAAATTTTGTGTCCCTGTTACAGATTTTCTGTGAAAAAAGAGTTGGCGAATTGTAGTTTGTATATTAATAATAGCCTATCATTGACCAAAAAGAAAAGAAGCATAAAGTAGTAAAGAAACTCTTATAACCAATCGGAAAATGTCTTTACAGAAAAGAAAGATAAAATAAATGATATATTTTATGTGGTTAATTTAACTATTTCATACGTGAATGAAAACGCACAACAAATAATTAATCAAAGATATCTAATTAAAATATTTGTTTGAAATTAAGATAGTCAATTAAAACATGATCTTATTCAAATATCTAAATAAAATATTCTAATTTACAATTAAATATTAAGCATAAAGAAAATGGTACTCAATAGGAAATGATTAAATAAACATTCAAGAATCTTTACATAAGATTCTTTAAAAGAAAGGAAATATGAGCTGGATACATTGGAATATATATATGTTTATGACTGCTAACTTGCTCAATCTTGGATTTTTTATGTTTCTTCTTTTCTTGTATTAGAGATTGTACCTTTGACATTTAAGTTTACAGGTACTTGGAGAAGAAAGGAAAGGAAAGAAATTGAAGAGATGCCATGCAGGGAACATTGAGCATTATCAGGTACATCGAACTTAATTTTGATTTTTTTTCTCGAAAACACTTTCAACTGGAAGGATTAGCTATTAGAGTTACCCTATTTTCACAACCCGTTCTCCTATGTGGAAAGTCCAGTATTTCTCCCTCTTTAGTTGATTTAATTTTCCAGTTGGATATGCAGTTGAATTATAATGTTGAATACTAACATATGTATATGTAGATAAACATAAACTATAATTTGCTTATATGACAAGGGAGACTTTTTTTGAACATGAAGAATTCTTTGTAAGATAAGTTATTTGTTTTTCATAGAGTGCAAGTTTCGGTATATAAATAGCAAACAATCTCCATTTTTAACACATCTTATTCATAAACTTATGCAAAAATGCAGATTTCAATCAATAGTTATCGCCTTCAGGGAATTAAAAAATCGGCTCAGAGATTTGTTCCTATACCATTTGCCCCTGATGGTTTAACTGAAGAATTTTATGATCTGCATGCTTATAACCCTGCTGAAAGTAAGTTCATTATGAAACTTCAAGTTCATCCAGAACGAATGAGCCAAGAAGATAGTCACGGATTTGATTTGCTTATCAGGTACTATTATAAATTTCTATTTCTACTACATTTTAAAAAATGTAATGAAGATGTACGTGTTCAGTTTGAAATAAGCTATAAGATAGTCATGTTATGACTTATTCAGTTTATTACTTAAT